ACTGAATGCTCATGAACCAGAGGTTTGGGGCTTTGTTTCCTGGAATCTCTTAGAGGTAGCTGAGCAGACTGACATAATGAAGAGTACTTTGCGCAAGTCTCCACCCTGTGGTTCTGTCCACCACTGGCTGTGGTTTAATCAAGAGAAATTGGCACATAGCCCCACCCCCAAGGAAAATCCCACAGCCCCTCCCCCCTTTTTTTTCTGTCTGTGAAAGTCTGTTGTCATAGAAACACAAAAGCTTCTCTTTCTCCTCAAAGCCCAAAGCCATATTTTTTTAAGGAAGATGAAGAAAACAAAAAAGAGTCTAAGAAACAATGGAGTTCACCCTGGGAGACACTGCGGTACTCACATAACGGTCTGAGAGTACCGGATCTCTTTCCTGCCTTTCATGTGGTTCTGTCGTCAATGCTGCCGAATGGAGCATAGCTCCTTGAACAAGTCAAGAGAAACCTTCTTGCTAGCAGCAGTTTCCACTCAGAATTGGGGGCAGGGAAGGAATGCTTACAAACCAGATACTAATTTAAGGCCTGTAACTATCCAAGTAAACATTTTTACAGGATCCACAGCCTTAGAAAAAGCTCTTACACCTGCCTTTCCCCCCCAGATTGTATTGCAGAGGATGCTAGTTGTGGTCCAATGGCCATTTCTCCCCTTCTTTCATGGCAAGCCAAGTTTTGTCCAGGGACATGACTCCCCAGCTAAGAACTATACTTCTCAGCTTTGTGTGGCCACACAATGAGGCTGTAGCCCATGAAAACTGTCTAGCTTCCATCCTTCCAACAGTGTTGTCAGGATGGTTGAATTGAATGGGGAAGACTGTGAAGAGGGACTTGCCCCTGGGCATGAAACATCTAGGTGACTCTGTAAAAATGGGGGATGGCTGAGGAAATGACTTTGTTAGACAGGGGAACTCTCTAGCTCCCTAGCAAGTGTCAGTCTTTTCTTTCACTGAGTTGAGACAGACTTGCTGAACCAGCATTTTGCTAATCTCCTGAAAAAGGTCTCCCTTTGAAGATGAGCTTCTAGGGGGATTCCCTTTTAGTTGAATTATTTCAGGTTTTGTATCAACATCTTAGCACAGACATAACTATTTCAAAACATAGATTAAGGACAACAGCAAGTCACACTTTGTCCCTGTTGTGCCACATCAACATGCCTCTCATGACTTATACAGAGGATTTTGTAGCACCCAAGCATTTCAACTTTGCAATAAAGATGCTTCATTATGATAGACATTAGAAGGTTTCCTACTATAAAACATTGAAATGGCAGTGGGAACAAGGATGGATATATGATGGAGAGTCTGGACAAATGTCATTAAATTATTTTCCAAGGTACAAATATGTTCTTGCACCATTTAGTTTTACTGAGTCTTGGTATCAAAAGACAATGTTGACATCACACCATATTTGTTCTCATCACACCATTACCAATTTTGAGTTTTTCATTAATGAAAATGAAAAATGTCTTAAAATCACTGTCCTGATTCATTAGCTAGCAACCTCCAATAAGCCTTCAGACCCACCATTTCATCCCTTTGTACACAGAATGAAAGAAGTCTTTGTTAAAGTAACAGTCACTGCCTTGACCCAGGCCTCATCATCTCTTGATGGATCACTGTAGTGTCGTCCCTCCCACAACCGATTTCTCTTTCTTCTGTCTCTCCCCTGCCCGGATCTATTCTCTCCACCACTGAATTTTCTCTTTGAAATGTAAACCTGATTTTGCTACTCTATCTAAAATTCTATTCATTCCTCTCACCTACAGCATACTATAGAACAAGACCCAGCTGTATGTACTTTTCCCTCTGACTGGAATGTCTTTTGTCAGCATGGGTAATTTCTATTTATTATTAAAAACCTAGGTTATGTCACATCCTCTGTGATGCTCTCTCTGATCCCTGGAGATGGTGTTATTTATTCCCTGCTCTTTGTTAATTTGTACACACTTAGTTTTGCAACCCCCTCACACAATTTAATCTGGAATAATTATTTATTTATAAAACTATCTCCTTCCTTAAAAATAAGAATCATATCTTTGTATTGGGCCATTTGTACTCAACAAATGGCACAATATTGGAGCATAGTAAAATAAATGTTTTGTCAAACTAAGCAAATTGTCAGCATTCATTTACAAACACAAATCAATGCACTAGTGAAACTCTGTTTTCAGTAATTTAGGCAGCCTGGTGTAGTGGAAAGGACATGTCGCAAACCAGCTGTATGATCTGGTTTGGATATGGTGTGGTCCTCCATCTCTGGAGGGGTGTGTGTGTGTGTGTGTATTGCCACTTGCATTATGGGTTGAATTGTGTTCCCCTAAAATTCACATGTTGAAAATGAAGTTATTAGTGTGGGCCCTAATCTAATCCAACCAGCATCCTTATAAGAAGAGGAAATCTGGATACACACAAGGAGACACCAGAGATGTACATGCACAAAGGAAAGACCATGTAAGCTTAAAGTGAGAAGTCAGCCATCTGCAAACCAAGGAGAGGCTCATAAGAATCCAAATCTGCTAACATCTTGATTTTGGATTTTTAGCTTCTGGAACTGTCAGACAATAAATTTCAATAGTTTAAACCATCCATTTTGTGGTATTTTATTATGATAGTCCGAGTAGACTAAGACATCCTGGCAACACTTAATAATAGTTCTTGCTGACACACATACAAACCGAATCATAGACTACTATGTCTGAAACAAACCTCACTAGTTCACCCCTTTCATCTTACAGATGATGAAATGGGCTGCAGAGGTGGAAATGGCAGCCTCATGTCCAGCAGTTCTCTTACTGACTGACCAAGATCCTGACAGAACTCTACACATAGTACCATGTTTCTGCTGCTTCTTGCCCCACCACACCTCACAGGAGCCTGCTCCATACTCAGTAATCTGGTTTACTAGTGTATGCTCAAAGTGGCTTGGATGGGTAAGAGCATCCTCACATGTTCTCTTAGAATGTCCTGAGTCAAGAGCCACTAGTGTAAGCTTTGTGGCCTACCAAGATTTCATCATGCACTAATTAGATTCTCGAGAAGCATAAAAAGAGCCCTCCCCCTATTTTTGGTATAGACCAAGCTGAAGCATTTGGTGACCTGTCTTTAATCTGGCTGCTATAACCAGAGAGGGCTGTGCTGTGGTGATAGCTACTTCTTCCTTGCCCCCATGAGGGGCAAAAAAATCACCTACCTTTTCATTATGGTTTATAAGGCATTTTAAGTACATTTGCTCTTCCACTAACACCTATGAGAATTCCAGAATCAGAGGGAATTCCAGAATTCCATCTGCATCACTTGTGCTGGGCATAACCTTACTTAACCCTTTTATAGTTTGGTTTCCTCATCTCTAAAATGGGGGCTATTGATACTGTGCATATTATTTGGTTGCTGTGAGGATTGCATGAGATGTCACCTAAATGGCACATAGTAAACAATTAAGACCTGCCAGTTGTGATTATTTATAGATGAACAATCTAAGTCTCAGAGAGGTCAAATGATTTATCCTTGTAAGTAGAAAGTGCAACATTGAATCTAGGCCCTCTGGGGCCACATTCTGTAAAGTTCCCTCGTGCAACACTGTTTTCTTGGTTCTACCAGCACATTCTACCAGAATGACTGTGGACAGAGAGAGAGATCTGGACTGGGAGCATAGAGTTGAATATGATTTGTATGTAAGGTGATCAAGTAGCCAGACACATTGGGGAAGTGGACGGATGGTTACTCTTGCCATGAAATGGCTGGGAGAGGCAACATGGCTGCATTAGGTTGATAGAAGAATTCTTAGGTGCTTTCCAGGCAGCAGGAGGGTGTTTTCCCATATGAGAATCCTTCAGGGGAGTCTCTGTTATAGTAGGTGCTATGCTGAGGGCATAACCTAGTTACATCCCCTTTTCCCATTATCTGGGAAAGGTCTCACATCAACAATAAGTCTACTGTAGACAGGCGTCTCCTTGGAATGACTGTTTCCTCCGAGTGGGTACAGAGAAGAGAATGTAAGGAAGTAAGTAGTGCCTGTAGGACCATACCGGGTCCTTCTGTCCTCAAACCTGCCTGAGGCAAGGACACAGAATCTTTGGTGTGAGGGGGAAAGTGCTCTATTCTTGCTTATTTAACCGATTTCTCTTCCAAAAGAACAATGATGCTTTCTTTCTAGAAAAAGAAAAGACCTAGCCAAAAGATCTAGGTTTAGGTGTTAATTCCTCTATTTAAAAGTTTAAGAAACTTGAGGAAGATACTTAAATGGTATGAACTTCAAGTTCCTCATCTGTGAAATGAAGTTAATGATTGTACCTATTTGGCAAAGTTATTGTGAGAGTCCAAAGATAATACAGTTCAAAGTGTTTTGTCAATAATAAAGAGCTATATAATTCATCATTTCCCCCCAACTTCATGGTTCATGAAGTAAGTCTTATCCCTGCTTTTCTCTGACTCCCCTGGCCTCTGACATGCTATGAAATTCAGGATTCATTCCATAAATGAAGCCCTTCATTATATCCTATGTTTCATTATCAAGCAAGTGATGCATAGCTTATCTTTACAACATATTGTGAAAGATCAGAAATCGCATATCATATCTATTCCAAATCTACAGCATACGTAATTGAGGAATACTTGTTGATGATATAGAACTGTGCCACCATTAGTGGAGCAGGGAGTTGGGAGTCAGGACCTGCCACCTGCACTCCCTCCCTCACCCAGTCATCCTTGCAGATTGGAGCAAGGCAGAGAGGAAAGATCACACCTTGGAGACCTGGGTTCTGGGTTTGGTCCCATCTTTTCCCATTGGCTCCTTATCTACAAACTGAGCATAGTTACGCTGCCAAGAACCCACGTAAAAGTCACCGAATGCACATGGGAAGCTTTTACAATATAAAGAAAACATAAAGTGCTATTGTCAAGGTGAAGATCTTGGCTATGGAAGTAGAGTCATCAGCCCCATCAGGAACTAAGCCCATACTAATTAATGTGGCATCTGAGCTGCCACCTGCTTACTCACCTGAGGAATCTGGTATGCACAAGTGCCAAGGGTTAAAGGCCTGGGAGCCATTGCTGATAGGGTTGCTCACAGTGCAGATGTAGATAGCATCAGCATGCTGGAGGTCAAGGGTAAAGTGTAGGAGGTGGGAGTTGTTGCCTGGGCTTAGCAGTGGGGAGCCTGCCTCATTATTCCAGGTGTAAGCCACATGGTCCCCCTTCTCCACTGTGCAGGCTAGCAACAAGCTGCAGGTCCCATTCTCATTTTCCTGGGTTCTGTTTATCACTTTAATTTCTGGAGTGGAGACCTTTTCTGTCAGTAGAAGAAGAAATGGAGTCATCACCCAAATGAACCCCATGGAATTGTCACTTGACCATTTAGTCAAAACAAAGTGTACCCTTAATGGCACTTTTCCTCCCTGAGGGGCTTCAGTGTGCATTATCTCCAGGGGGAGTCCATTGTTTCACACCATCTCTCATTTGCACTATACTCTTTCCACAACCCTCTTGAGAAAGAATAATGAAGGATTTGGTTTTTTAGTCCCCTTCTGCCAATTGTTAGGCTTTCACTGGCTCTGTCTGGTGTCTTCAGGCTAGATTGTTCCCCTGAATGCTGTCAGGAGTATAATGGGCTTTAACTGACTTAAAGTATGACCTTGTAGGCCTAACAGCATGAGTTTTCAGTGGTAGGATTCTGTGTGAGTATGTAGCAAGTGCTTCCTGGGTCTAAACTAGGGCTAGGTTTTGAATCACAGCCATATGCCCAATTCAGCTATCCTACTTTATTGCTATAAACAGACAAAGTAAAAGGGAATGTCTTGTTTATTTACAACTACTATAACACAAGCACAGTGCTGGAGCTGTGCAGTCATCATCTTTAATTTTCTCAGAAATTATAGCTAGTTATAATTATTCCCATTTTATGGATGAGGAAACTTGAGTCCCACAGAGATGGGGTATCTTACATAATATTACACAGCTTCAAGTTGGCCAACCTGAGATCAGAACCTCAGTCTATCTGTCACCAAAATCCAGCCTTTCTTGAGAAGAAAGTCATGGCTGCAAAGACCACATTTTTCAAAGTAAGAATTTGGTCAGAAGATGTGACAAAGGCAGTAAACTTTCAGGAAAAAAGGACAGATTATATGATACATTGTTTTGAAAATACATGATGTGTGGCCTCCAATCTCACAGAAGACCTGTTCCAGAGTCATTCTTGAAGTGATCAGGACTCCTGGGTATGGACAGAAGGTTGTGGGAACTCTGCATGCTCTGTTAGCAGGAGAGGGAATGATGGGGCAGAGGGAGTCGGGGAGGGTACTGCTGTCCCTCCTTTAGGTAGAAGTTCAAGGAAATGCTGGGTAGGTGGAGCCCCTACCCCATCCTCAGAGATAAGGAAGTCATTTTGGAAAAGCAAGAAAGCCCCACACGGTGTCAGGATGCCTGGGAATTCAGGGGAGCCTCTGGGCCAAAGAGACATAAAGTCTAGATGTGTTCAAGGGGAAGTGGCAATTAAAGAAGCTCAAAACAGCCCTGGCCTTAGATTCAGGTGGACCTACGTTCTGGTTTCAGAACTGCAACTTAGCAACTTTATAGGCAGAGTCTTTGTTTAAATGAGAAAAAAAAATGCTTCTTCCACCTTGTAGGCGTGATCCTATGCCAGGGCTCAGGGCTTAAAGTGGTGTGTGGGTGGAATTTTAGCTCTCTTTGCACAGAACCCCCAGTGGAGTGAACCACCCACCCAAACATGCATAAGCATGTATAAACCACTCCGCTCTGAATTTCAGTGTCTTCACCTAAGAAAGAGAGGTTGGGTTTAATTACTGCTATTATCAGGAAAACTTGATTTTTTTTTTCCAAATAAAATTTTACTTGCAAACCAAGACTTGGGGCTCCAAGCCCTCCAGCCCACAGGCAGCTGGTCTCCTTTTCTTTCGAAATGGGTCAGGGTACTTTACACTAATCAGCTATCACCAATGTGCAATTTGGAGAGAAGAAAAAGAACGTCAACCTCTAAAACCACTTCCATGAAGCACAGTAGAAATACTTCTCGGGTCAGATGATCTTTCGAGTTGCTTCCAATTCCAAATACCCTTTGCTTATGAGAAAGACCTAAATTCTTGGGCAGGGGACCATCTTGGGGCCAAGATGGGGAAACCCTTATTATTACCATAAAGCTTAAGCTCCACACAAAAGTGCTGGACTGAGACATTTTCCTCCAGGGACATGAGGTACCATCCCTCATTCTCCTTCCTGCTTCTCAGGATCCCCAGGCTCAGGTTTTCCAGATGAAACTGATAGCCAGCCTCTAGGTAATGCAGAGAGTCCACTTCAGATGGACGAAGCGACACTATTTTCTTCTTGACGCTGCTATCTCGAGATTTTGCCATTGTGACAACGATGTGGAGGCTTTTGTTCATGCTTTTATCAATCCGTTCATGTGTCAGGGGCAGCATTGTGTTACTTCCCAACTGTTGGAGAATCCTGGGACAGTTCATCACGCCCTCACCTGTGGGAGGGAGGAGAAGAGTCCCTTAATACGGAGGCTTTGGAGAACCACACTGTGTTGTAAATCAGGAATGGCAGGCTGAGGCTCTCTCCCTCCCCCTGGGCTACTGTGGAGTTGCCAAGTCCCTAGTGGTCTATAAGGATTGCCATGAGGGTTCTCACTATATCCTCAATATTTCAAAAATCTTAACAGAAATCTTAAAATTACTTAGGATAGAGCTGTATAGACTAAAACACTGGTTTTCTATCAACTCAGATTTACAGTTAAGGCTTGTAAAGCAGAGATAAAGTAAATGACTTCCCTAAAGTCACAGTTGTACATGGCAGATCAGGACTAGAAGCTAGGTCTATAGCTTCCTCTGCCAGAGTTTTCGCCACCATGGAGCATACAAGATGAAGAGTGGTGGCAACTGAAAATGATTCTGAGCTCATGAGTCCAGTGGACCAAAGATACAGAAGCATCATGTCAGGTGACGATGAGAAAAACAGGAAGTTCTTAGGAATGTGGAGTCAGAAGTGGGGAAGCCTAGTGCTCAAACTGGAATCCCAGTCTCCAAACATCCCTGAGATAGTTTATAATGCTGAGGGTGAGATATTATCTTAGTTCTCTTTTTAAAATGCTGAGCTAATAACAAGGAGGAAAAAAAAAAAGACACAACACCCAAACCTTTCAAACCACTATAAGGGATCCTACTGCTGATTATTTAACACCTTTCTGCTCAAACCCACAGTGTGCCTTCCTCCTTCTCTTGGCTGGTAACCTTCCTTTTTGTTTCACTGCAAATAAAATAAAAGAAACAAAAAGAGAACTTCCACTTCTGATCACCTCAAGTCAACCTACCTGGATGAATGTCCTGTATTCCCATGGAAGGCCAGCTTCCTCTCTCATGGAGCACTTACTCAAGGCTTTGCCCCTGCAGTAACATCCACTCCCCAGCCCTGCAGTATTAGTTATCCTCTGGGGTAGTTCCATCAACACACACACACAACCATGTAATTGCCCTCATCTTAAAAATTCCTCCCTGATCACAAGTTCATTCCCAGCTACTCCCCCATTTGTCTGTTTTGCTTTTACAAGGTCCCGTTAATGTGTGTTCCTGTCCCTGACCTAATTTTCCCATACCCGCTTCTTCTCTACTATGCAATGGAAGCACCTTTGTCAAGGTCACTATTTATTCTAAGAAGCCAAGTTAATTATCCATCCTTATCTTACTTGTTTCTTAGGAGCCCTTGACATGGTTCATCACCCCCTACTTGAAACGCTGTCTGCATTGGTCCCTGAAACATCACACTGTCCTGACTTGGCTTCTCATTTCCTTGGGGAAACTTCTGCTCTTTCAGACTTCTAAGTATTGGAATATTGCAAAGCTCAGTACTCAGACTTCTCCTCTTCCCTTGTCTAGACCTGTTCAATTAATCATTCACTGCACAGTTTGACATATTTCTGCAATGCTTTCAGAATTTCATCTCCCAGACAATCCCTTCATTGTACTCTTGACTGCCTACACAGAACAGTACTTGAAGGTTTAAAGAGCATCTCAACTCAAACATTATAATTCATCCAATTTCTCAGGCCAAAACATTGAAACATCCTTGATTCATTTCTTTCTCATGCTCCACTTTCAACCCAGAAAATTCTGTTGTCTCTAACTTCAAAATAAGTCTGACATCCAAGCACTTCAGACTTTCTTCATTCCTACCACCATTATCCCGGACCTGGGTACTGCCACTGCCTTCCAACTAATCTCTTTATATCTGTGCAATGCACAGAGTTATCCTTTAAAGCCATGTCTGATTTTTGTCTCTCTACAGTTTTTAAACTTCCAGGGCTTTCTAGCACTCATAGAATAAAGTTCACAGTCCTTGACTGATATACTTCAAAGACTCTACCTACCTTTTCCCTGGTATCACTCCAATTTTATTTCCTGCCCTCTCTCTGACCCTCACCTCACTACGGCCATACTGCTTCTGACTGTACCTTTTACTCACCAAGAACCATCCTATCTCAGAGCTTTTGTACTTGCTGTTTCTCTCTCTGGAAATCTCTTTCATTATGTACCTAGACAGCTCATTCTCTCACTTTATTTTAGGTTTCTGCTCAAAAAATTATCTCCTCCGAGAGCTCTCCTCTATCCATTATCTAAAAAGCACCCTCCTTGCTCTCCCCACTGTCTGATATTATAGCGCGTATTAGCTTATTTTATTGTCACCTGCCCCACTTCAACACAGTCTGCTCCAGCGGAAAAACCTCACTCATCACTGTTTTGGTCTTAGGCCCCGATGCAGTGTTTGGCACATGGGAGGCTTTTAATAAATATTTGTTCAATTTACACATGCTGAAAACCATATTGCGTGACATATCTCTTCCTTAACTTCACCTAATATGTGTATAACTGAATTTAACCATAAGCCAGTGTTCATAAAAGGAACCCATGACTCAGAGAATACAGATTGTTCTAGTTGATAAGAAGTTCAGATAAGTAAAATAACACTGTCTGCTTCAATACAGGGGTACCTAGAAAAAGACCCTTTCACAATAAACTGTGGCTAAGATGAGCTGTTAGACAATTGGGTAAACAGGCCAAATGTTTTGACACCAAAATGCCCTGAAGTCTTTACACTGTCCAGGAAAAGGCCCAGCTAATATTAAATAGAGATCGGTGATTGGGAAAAAAGAGAAAGCAGTCCCCCTGGGCTAAAATCAGAATTAGTGTGGCGGAAACACATAATTGTTACAGAAAAGTGAGAATGGTGATTAGGCATTTGCTCTGCTAAGTATTGCTAATACATTAACCCTGAAAACAGCCATGCTTATCCCTATTGCTTAATGACACAAGCATTGTCTCATACTGCTATTGTGGCCGTTGGTGGTGGCTTTTACATAGATACATTTGGACACTTGTTGGACTTTCTGCCAGCCACACTAGGCAATGCCTGACTGTCCAGATGACATGGCTCCTCTGGTGGCCTCACAGCTGAATGGTAGAATAGTACATGGGAGATAACCTCTTCAATCCCGAACCTGAGCTTCCACAGAGAGTAACAAGAGAAAACGGAGAGCCATACATACAAGTATGAGCCCTGAGCTTGTGCACAAAAAGTTGTGTAGATAGGCATATGTACATTTTTGGGGGAGTACTTCCTTAAATGTCATTTTTCAAAGGATCTAAGATTCAAAAAAAAAATAAAAATCACTATGATACTGCTGTTTTAAGAGCATTTTTGATATGGTGAAAAAAAAAAGAAGAGAAATTATTCCCTTCTAAGACTGTCACCCTCCTCTCTCCTAAATGTCTCCCTTGAAGCCCCTCCCCCTAAAACTCTACAGACCATTTGTACCATGGTTGTTTTCAGAATGTGGAAATTGATGGGGGAAAGAGAAAGAGAGGACATAGGATTAGGTAGGAAATAGCAAAAAAAAAAAAAATCAAAGAAAAATGTCAAAGAAAGAAAATAGAGGGGAAAGAGAAGAGAAGAGGCAGATGAGGACAGGCTGAGTGGTTTACACCCATGAGGAGTGAAATCAGAACCTCAAATTGGGAAGAGACCCTAACACTCCACAACCCACATGAAGAATGATGATGTAACACCTGTGCCTGTGAGTGGCTGGGTCTGTTCAGAGGTGTGGGGCTTGAGATCATCCTCACCCAAGCACAAGTGGAAACATAAGTGGGGCTTTAAAGTGGTTCATAAAACCCTTCAAGTGGAGTCCCTGCTCCTGAAACATCCTACTGCCTGATGAGTGTTTTCCAGTGGGCCTGTGATTCAGTCAACCCTGTTTGCTAAATGTCTAGCTAGAAGGAAACAGTTATAGCTGTAAACACCAACTCACTTTCCTTCATGGGTGATTCTACTTTGAAAGTAGAGTGATTCACATGGGCCCATGAATAATGGCCTAAAATCTGTAGGATTTAGCCAGTCCTTTCACAAGATGGGATTCTACCTATAACTTTTTTTCTTTTTCCTTTTTCTTTCTTTTTTGACCTGGTTTTGATATTTCACATGTGCTTTTAACATCTTGCTATAGCTTTTTTTTTTTTTTCTGGTAGATAGAGACAGGAATCATTGGCCCTCCAATTCTTATGGCAAATTTAGACTCAGAAAAAAAAAGTAACTTGTCTAAGTTGGTTTTTAAACATAGTCATCAGTCAAGCTCCTGTTCCCTGATGTTGCTGAGAGTCCTGAGTTTTTGTATACTGAACTACTTACACGTACCTTTCCCCAGTCTAAAAGCCTATAACGCCCTGTGTTTTGCTTGACTAATCACCACCTTGACTACTCTTCGTAAGGGAAGGCTTCCCTGACTGCTAGCTTACCTTAGCTTAGGTTTTCTGCCATGTGCATCCGATGGACTTTGCATCTCTCCTTCATATCACTCATGGCGTTTTTAACTGGCTCACTGTCTGTCATCCTTACTCAATAATAAGTTTCCAAGAGTAAGGACTATGGGAGCTCAGGAAATCCTTGCTGCCCAAGTGAATGAATAGAATGGAATGGGATAGATGAATGAATGACAGATCTAAGTTCTCTCTCTGTAATTGGAATACACTCTGTTTTGTCTTTGTAACACCCCTAAACAGTTCAGTATAACTTGTCTGCACTTTCCAGGTGAGGAGATAGAAGCACCTTAGCTCTGAACCCTGAGTTGCTGCTACCATTTCAGGTGCCATTTTCCAAGAACTTGTGGCACTTTAGCTCTGCATTTGTGCCTCCCTCTAAAACACTCCTCTTCAAGTCCCATAAGAATCCAGTCTAGCAGATCCATATATTTGAAAGCCACCCAAGCAACTGGTCACAGTGGTTGCCTCCAGCATGGGCTATGGAAAGGAGAGGTTAGTCTTCACTCCATTCTCTTCCATATTGTGGAAGTTTTATAGACATACTAGTTCACAAAAAAGTTAAATGAAAACTTTCATAATGAAAAAAGTTTACATCTACTCTCCTAGTTTCAGGTCAAATTCTTCTCTTGTGCCTTCCTCATTCTTCTATTGCTTTATCAGTCTCTCTCCTTTTGAAAATGTCTATACTTTAATTCATTTCAATTCAATTCAACTCATGGACTTCAATTATAGATAGAATAGTCTAATTTTTATCATGGGACCTAAATACATATTTTAGCATTTCTTCCACTCTTCAAACATAGGCTTATCCAATTTCATTCCTGAAATTGGATAGAGCCAGGCTACGTGAGTGCAGGGAAATTCTTGAACTACTCTTTCCTCATTTATAAAGTTATAATGGTAGTAATAATAAACTTCATAAGGTTGGTGTGAGAATTAAATGACTGATAGACCTATAGCACAGTGCCTGGTATATAGCAAGCATGCCATAATTCTACTATTATTCACTCAACAAACATTTATAGATGGGCTCTTACATGCCAGACACTGTGTCAGGGCTGGGCAGAGGCTGTGGTTGTTTATTTTGCCTCCTCTGCATGTTGCACAGTGCCTGCTACATCATGTGTTCTTCATAGATTGTTGCTGAATGTAATTATCAAGAATCAATCTGCAGCTAAAACCGAATAACACTGATGTTCTGATTTCCAGTTCAATACCGGAGACAGTGGGGGAGGGGATCATATCTAAACTTTTAAAAAATAGAAACGAGTAGATGAACACTTGGCATAGCAGGGGCCAGTGGACACAGGAGGTTGGGCCAAGCCTAGAACCCAGAAACTTGTCCCTCACCGCTCACCCACTTTGTGAAAGCGATTAAGAGGACCTGAATGGAGAAGTAAAAAAAAAATCTCATTGGAGTAGGTTCATGAATCAAAATGTACCACTGTAGTGGGGTTTTGATAATGCGGAAGGTTACCCATGCGCGGGGGTAGAAGAGATATGGGAAACCTGTACCCTCCACTCAATTTTGCTACGAACCTAAAACTCCTCTGAAAACTAAAGCCTATTTTTAAAAAGACTCTCATGTGTGTGCTTGGGGCGGGGGAGGGGGGAGGGGAGGGGAATCAGTGTAAAATTCACTTTATTGGGGAAAGAACATGTGGACATTTTGGGTTTTACAATTCTGGCCAGAAATTGGAAATAGAGTCGAGTAGAGCTGGAAGGGGAGTGGGTACTGATTTTTTGCAAGAATTAAGCTCCTCGATTGGGTCTGTTATGACTGACCTGTCCCATTTGCAAGCATTTCCATCTGAGTTTTATTGGGGTTTCACAAAAGGGTGCCTATTTAAAAATAGAAAAAAACACTAAAAAAAGACTTTGAACATATCTTAGAAGATGAAATGCAAGGGAGGAGCAGCTACCAGCTGAGAGACTCACCTTTTGGGGCTAGGCTGATTCTAACCAGTGGCCTTTGAAGCCACTGAAGTAGGACAGCTGTCACGGCACCTGAGCTGCCATGGGCCAGACTGGCCAGGACACAAACAAGCAGCAACAGAAAAATCCGACCCACAGGTTAGCCTCATCACTCTTTACAGTCACCAAGAAGCATGCCGAAAATTGTGGGGTTCCAAATGAGGTGCCACAAGGGAGGCTTGGCTCTTCCTGTGACCCCTTGAAGTGGCTCAGTTTGGCTTTCTGAGCCCTGAGCTCAGTTCTTTCTCTCCTAGACTTCAAGAAGTAGGATCTGTGGGCCTGCTGAGTATAAGGGACAGTGAGGATGAGCAAGGGCCTCTTCATCTCAGATTCTAGCAAGAGATAACCGTGCACAGCAGCCCTCATCCCTAGCATATCTCAGAGTTTTACTGAAATATGGAAAAGCCCATAATGGATTTGCAGTCTTGAAAACCACAAGCCCAAAACACTTGGGCCTAAGGATCTGCTCCCCTTCCTTAATGCCATCTCCACTCCAGGATGCCTTCCACAGTCCAACCAAGTCCCAAAGCACATAAGCAGAGGGAGCTCCACTCTCTACTCAAAGGACCAGTCCAACACTTAGCATTTATTCTCAAATATCTTTGCCCATAGCCCTAAACAGAAACAATAGCTTGCCTTGGGAGGAAAATGAACCAGAAAAACAGAAGCAAACCTAGCTCCAAAACGCTCTGCTACAATTTGGGCTCTACCAGTAGATCTGCTTTGAGCCTGAGGGTTCCTAATTCTGTACCCAGCCCAGGGCTCCAAAAATCCCAACCTCTTCTTCTGTTTCTACCTGGGAACCTTCTCTTCCAAGACAGTGGATATCAGTATGACCACCCTGTAGCCACTGTTCTCAACCAAAAGCTTGGATTGTTCATTTTCTACTCTTTCTTCCCACTGTCACCTTTGCTTTTCATTGGCCCTTGTTCTAATTTGTGAGCTGGTACGCGTATGAGAAGTGTCCACTTCCAAAACAGGGATGCAGGACAAATCTTCTCCCTCAGTTCCACCCCTCCAGTTCAATCCTGCGAGCCTATGTCTTTACCAGAAGGATGCCCATACGAACCAACCACTTAACCAAAGCTTCATCTAGAGAAGCTGATTAGAGCTATAACAGGTGCCTTTAACAACCAGTATCCTTGGAAATTAGGACTGACCGAGCTGAGCCTTGGAACCCAAGGGCCCAGGAACTCATTATGTTCCTTCCTCTTCAGTCCTTGAATCTTCTCTCCATCTGTGAAGCTATGCCGATTCCTAGCAGCTAAATGCAGGACTCAAACACTCAGACAGACCAACACTCACCTGTTCCATAGCTCAGCTCAAAAGCCAGGGACAGAAACAGCAGGAGGCTCAAGGAGAGGATCCCCTTAGGATCCATCAGCCAGCAAGGAGAGGGAGGGGGGCCTGGCCGGGAGCCCGGCAGCTGCTCACAGGTGCCCCGCCAGAAGCCAAGCTCTGATCAGGCAGTGCTGCCTCTGCTGTCTAGCTTACCCATCAGGAACCCGGAGGTTCCTGAAGCAGCTTCCTGTCTCACTGGGGCTTTTTCTGCCTGTGTCTTGAGGATTGCTCATTTCTCCTCAGCCTTAAATCACTTTGTTCTTCTCAAGAAATGCTTACGAATCAGGCACTTAGACCTTTGGAGCCGGGAAAAGGGTTGTGCAGTCACCTCGGCCAGACCCTGATGTGAGACAGAAATAAGCTCCCCTCTTTCTTTCCTTAGATATTTCCCAGGAAATTGTTGTCACAGCTTCTCTGAGCAGTTCTCTCTGGTAACTTTTTGACAGAGCTAAGAAAAGATGGACTTTGGTCAGAACGACCCACATATTCGATAATTCAATGAGGAACTTGAATCAATGACTTTCAATGAGACGAAGGACTTGACCCCTTTCTTCTGATTTGTTCTATAATCTTGCAGAACACCTCCATGTGCAGTCATGTCTTGGTGCCATAGTCATAGAAACATGGGTGGGCAATGAGGACCACTGGCTAAACCCTAGTTCCCTCCTGGGAACAGAGCAGCAAAACTGAGTGAGTCCTGTGCTTTTCAGAAGTTCTTTTGATTTTAGAGCTTGTGCCTAAATTTTTGTTGAGGAGAGGAAGTTAGAATTGGCAGAAGAAAGACCCTGCTATAAGAATGGAACCCTGGAAAATGCTATGACCAGTGTACATAAGACTTTGAAAGGCCAGGTTAATGTTTTGTCTTTGAGATTGTTTTTCATTTGTGACAGGGTCTTCTATGTAGCCCAGGCTGGTCTGGAAGTTGCCATCCTCCTGCCTCAGCCCGTCAAGTGCTGGAACTACAGGTGTTCACCATCAGTGTGATCAGCTCCGGCTAGTATTTTCGTAGTCCATTGTTAACAGGTCACAGGCACTCTCCTCTTGGTGACCCCGAAGGCATCCGGGTAGTAAGAGATAGTGATAGAGGCAAACTGGCTCTTTTCTCTATTTCCCTCTCTCCCTCCCAGTGCTCAGCCACACAGTGGCATGTTGGAGCTGGTCCATACCAACTCAGTTGTTCATTTTCATGGATCTTGTGAATTGACTGACAAACATGGTCATTATTAAATCATATACATTTATATAAAGTTAAATTTATATACATTTGTATAAAATACAAAGAAATCAACTGTACTTAAAACAGAAATCAAGCTTCAAAAGTCTTTTTTCTAATATTATATAATGCTATTGTTTTAATGCTCTTAAGTCATTGACACCTAAATGAAATATTAGATCATGGGTACCACTTTTCCTAGCTCTGCATGCAATGACATCATGTTGGGAGATCAAAATCAGCCACGGAGGGAGTTCATACCATGGAAATTTGCAAATCATGGCTTTAATTTATTGTTTTGGTGATTGTTTAGATAGAAAAGTGATGGAGAAAACATAAGGATGCAGACTAAACTTAAAAGTGTGCTGTAACTATGGCTCTTACATTGTGAGTAGCATAAAAATTGAGAAAATATTTTTCCAGCGTACAAAATTTCCCATCTGATTCAGCAGTCATTAGCATCACTGATAAGCAAATCATGTTCTGACATATGTTGCCATTTCACACTTCTTTAATTTGAAAAAGGACATTCTCCAACACTCATGTTGGAACTACATTCATTAGTTGTAACTGATATCCATAATTCATCATGAGTTGTACCTCATATACAACTCATATCCACCGTAGGTTGGCTATGGATATGGGTTACGTCAATATAAACACAGAAACTCTATGAGAATCATTTGGCTTTACAGAAGTTACGATAAGAGTATTGGACATTTTATTAAAATACAATAAATTATATTTTGTAAAAGTGCATTACACATGCTTCATATTCATAAAGCTTATTACAAAGTTGTGTGTATAAAATATGCGTGGATACATTGTTTTCAGGGAGTTGGTTGTTAACCGTCTACCAGCACACCACCGAAGAATACAAGTGGAAAGCAATTGGCATACTTTCCATATATACCTGAAATAACAGCAGTTATATAACTAAGTGATATGGGGATATTGGCATCTCATATTCTCATACAGCTTCTCCCATAAGGCTTTACAATCACTCACTTGAGAAATATCAGGACAGATGTTAGTGCACATTTATTCTAATTTTGTGTGCATGCATGTGTATGACTGGGGTTTTGAACTCTGTACTTCATGCTTGAAACAGATGCTGTACCTCTTAAGTCACACCTCCAGTCCATTTTGTTCTTGTTATTTTGGAGATGGGAAGCTTATGAACTTTTTTGCGTAGGCTGGTCTCCAAGTGCAATCTTCCTAATCTCAGCCTCCCAAGGATTACAGGCATAAGCCACCGGCACCCATGCAAGCCTTTTTTTTTTTTTTAATGTTTGATGCGACAATACCATGACCATGTTATGCTCTTTTAAGGCACTTTGATTGAGGTCTTATTATTAACCTCATCTCATTAATGGGAAACCAATAATCGAGGTCTGACTTCAAGACTGATGCTCTCTCAAGTCACAGCAGATGGAATGCATGTTCCATTGTACTTTCACCAAGACCTTCTCTTCCAAAGGCAGGCATTTATACTTATGTTTATTTTCCTCTTCCATTCATTTCTAGAATTTACCCTTTTCAGGTGGACAAGGTTCAACATGTAGAGCACCTGTCTAGAAAGTGTGAGGCCCTGAGTTCAAAACCCCAGTACCACCATAAAAAAGAAAGTTTAGAATTAACCCTTCTCTAGCCTTAACATGGAGCATCTCTACTCCATTCTCCATATCCTCTGTGCAGAAATACATCAGACTAATTCTGGACACTAATCTGGAGGGATTTCCTTTGCAGTGCAATCTAAAACTCAATGAAAGTAGACACAAAGTAAAGGTCAGAGGTGGTTTAAATGTAGGGATTGAGGCTCTGTAGTGGATTGAATAGTGTTCTATCCTAAATTCTTGTCTATCTGGAAACTCAGAATGTGGCCTTATTTGGAATAAGGGTCTTTCGTATGTAATTAGGGTAAATTCAATGAGAGTATCTTTAGAAGAGATAGAAAAGAACACAGAGACACAACAAGAAGTCCAGATGAAGACAGAAGCAGAGATCGGATTTATGCAGCTACAGTCCAAGGAACACCTGAGAATACCAGAAACCCCAAGAGGCAAGACAGGATTCTCTCTCAGAGCCTTTGGAGGCATCCTGGCTCTGGTGAGTGGGTGAGGTGGGATGGGTTCAAATCTTGGATTATTTGAGTCCAGGATCTTACCATACCATTTCCATTATATTGAGCAAGACCCTTAGCTAGTCCTCAGGCTCATGATGGCCAACCTGCTATCATCTGTAGAATCTGTGCTTCTGGCACAGACCAAAGCATGGGCAGCAGAAGAATCCTGAGTGAGCACCATTTCCTGTCCCCAGCCTCCATCACCTGTGGCATAGCACCACTTCCTTCTCTTTAGCTATACAGAGCCCCAACCTAAGAGTAAAGAGGATCATATCTCTGTGGGATACAGCCTTCTCCAAACAACCTCAGATGGGCTGGGAAATGAGGCCATCTCCAACTCTTAAATGCAAGGCGGCAATGTCTCCTAAGACTTGCTGCTCTCTCTCCTGACACTATGGCTAGCAGTTGCAAAGTGACCTTCCCGACAGTGTCTGGGGTTGCACACTCTTGAGCATTTTGACTTCCCAGCAAATGACTGTCTTCATCACGGCCTCTGACCAGATATCCCTATAGCTGAGCCAGTCCCACAAGGAAGAGTAACGGAGGGGGAGACCATGCACCTGGCACATGGGCCTCATGAAGAGCACACTTATCTGGATAAGTAAAGAAAAAAACCCATAAAAAGAAAATGAAAATACAAAATTCCCCCAAACTGAACATCTCCTAGGAGACCTAATTGCAGAGTCTAAAACTGGCCTGGGGAAAGCACTGGAAAAAATACCCCTGGGTCCACCCTGCTGGGTAAGATGAGGAAGCTTGCAGGGGCAGGTGTCTGATGTGGAGGCTGAGCAGATCAGTCAACCAAAAAGCCTTGTTATGGGGCTGGGACTGTGAGGGGTAAGTGAGGAGAGGGGAGGGAACTGGGCTGGGAGTTGGCTCTAGCCCAGATCCAGGCCCAGACTTTACCTAGCTCCTCTACTCTGAGAGTTCATGCCAGCCAGTCAGCTGCCTGGGCTGATGAGTGTGCTGAGTGGCCCAGGCCCTGGTCCTGGGACACGGGACTGTGAACACTGGTCCTTAGCACATCTCTGGGGCTGAGATTATCCAATTCAACGCCCTCATCAGGTTGCTGACATCAGAGCTTCCCCCAGGGCTCCAGATCATTTCAGAGCACTAAAGTGTGGGGGTGGAGATACATAGTGGACATCTGTCATCTGAAGACTTCCTCTCCAGCCACCTTTCATTTTCACTGCTGCTCCTGCCATCCTTTTAGACCCCAGAGCCAACATGGTGTGCAGATCCTTCCCTCTTGGGGCACGCATGGACTGACTCTGAACGCTCCATGTCCCTTAAATGGGAACTCTGAGAGTCACTGCTTTACAGACTCCTTCCATGGCACTTTTAGAGCAATTCTCGGCAGGATTGGGGGTGTTTCCTAGTATGCCTGCTTTTTACTGGCATAAGTTGCTAGAGAGAGGGAAATGCCTGTGTCATGCTTCTCCTTCTAGGAAGGAACAGCATTCAGGAACCAGGGACAGTGACTGCTGAGTCACCGCCTCAGAACTTTTCTGTGCACATAAAACCACCTCCCATAACCCTGATCCACCTTCTTAGACAGATTGCCAGATAATTTGCAAAGTACCCTAGAAACCGGATAACTACTGCCAGTCTTGTCTTCCCACCACACAGAGCTCAAACTGAGGTTTTCTTTTCTTTGGCAGTTCTAGACAGCTATTTGGCAAGCCTACTGAGCACTCTTCTAGCAAATGCTGGTAAGGAGGAGAACTCATTCCTTTCCTTCTGAAAAGTTCTGGTC